TCACCTCAAACTCTTGATGAAGGAGTTGTTTGAGGGACTCAATCTCACTATTATTATTCCCTGTCACTACAATATCATCCACATATACAGCAAGCAAGGTCAAGGAAGAATTCACTCTTTTAACGAACAATGTATGATCTGATTGGGCCTGTACATAGCTGAATTTTCCAAGGGCTAGTCTGAATCTATCAAACCAAGCTCCAGGGGACTGCTTTAGTCCATACAATGCCTTATTCAGTCAGTAAACCTTCTTACCTGTCTCTGCATCATAAAATCCAGGGGGCAACTGCATATAGACTTCTTCCTATAAGTCTCCATTCATAAAGGCATTTTTAACGTCCATCTGGAACAAGGGCCAAGAGTAACTTGCTGCAAGGGCTAATAGAACTCGAATAGTGGTCATCTTGGCTACTGGGGCAAAAGTCTCCAAGTAGTCTATACCATAAGTCTGAGTAAATCCTTTTGCAACMAACCGGGCTTTGTACCTTTCAATGGAGCCATCAGCATTATGTTTCACAGTAAATACCCATCTACATCCAACCGGTTTCTTTCCTTTGGGTAGGTCAACTAGCTCCCAAGTATTATTTTTCAAAAGGGCATCCATTTCAACTTTCATTGCATCTTTCCACTCAGGAACTGACAAAGCTTCTTGCACTATTCTGGGGATAGGAATATCAGCAATGGAAGTGAGAAAGGACCTGTAAGAAGGAGACAGACGATCATAGGACAGAAACTAGGAAATGCAGTGAGCTGTGGATGTGGTGCAACGCCGTTTCCCTTTACGGAAGGCAATAGGGAGGTCAAGGTCATCCGAAGGAAGGGAAGTAGCAACAGTGGAAGGTATCTCAGTGGGTCCTGGACTTGATAAGGGGACTGTAGTACTTGGATCCGAATCCGCACAAGGAACTGGAGCTGGCCTGGACTGCTGATGAACGAAATCAACCTGCCTCCATCGCCTGTGATAGACTTTTGTTGAGTAGGAGAAGAAGGAGAAGAAGAAAGGAGGAAGGAAGAAGAAGAAGAAGAAGAAGAAGAAGAAGAAGAAGAGGCAACAGAGTTGAGGCCTCAAAAGTTCTACTTCAGTCGAGTGAAGCATTGTATTTATACTATACTGGTCGTACAACACAATAGAACTGTAAAATTACAAAAATACCCCTGTGGGTACTAAACCTATGTACAGTACATATAATACACCTATCAACACTCCCCCTCAAGTTGGGGCATAGATATCAATCATGCCCAACTTGTCACAAAGACCTTGGTGTCTGGAATGGTTTGCAAAGTCATGGGTTTACCAACTAGAAAACCCAACTCTCCCAATAAATTCCTTATCCACATACCTTCGGCTACTCCGTGTGCCATTGCACGGTACTCAGCTTCAGCACTGGACCTACCTACCACGGTTTGCTTCTTACTCCTCCAAGTAACAAGGTTCCCTCGTACAAAGGTGTAGTAACCACTAGTAGACCTTCTGTCACTTTGAGATCCAGCCCAATCCGGATCTGTGTAAATTTCAACTCTCAAATGTCCATGTTTCTGGAATAATAAGCCAGCACCCGGGAACTTCTTAAGATACCGCAGTATTCTCTCCACTGCTTCAAGATGAGTGGACCTAGGTGCATGCATGAACTGG